CACTCTCCATTCCGTGACCAGGAGTACGTCGGATCCTCAGGATCGGCAAATGGGGCCAGACTTCTCAAAAATACCGGGTTCGTGGCCGAGCTTGATTTGCTGGCTAGCAATTCCGCGTTGTCACGCGCCAGGGTCAAGTCGGGCATGCCGTCTTTTTGGTACATCCTCGCTGAGCATTCTAACAAGTCGGAAATATGGCGGCGGGAAAGCATTGCACGAATTGCAAGACAGAAACCAACTGCCGACAGGACGGCGCCCGCCACATTAAACAAGTCATCCAGTGCTCGCTGCAAGGAGCCGTCACAAAAGGGCGATCACGAATGACGAGAGCGAATGGCTGGCGTAAGGTAGTAGGCGGCAACTCGCAGATTCCGGACGCAGAACAGCTGGCCCGCGACTGTGCCGGCCAATCGAACACACACAGAGGTAGTGACGTGGCCATTGCTTGAGCAGCCGAAGGTACACAAGAGAATTTCGGTCCTCCGAAGAGACAAGTTACATGGGAAACCGCCATCGCGTATCGAAGCATGCGTTCAAGAGATACGCGTCAAGCTCCTGGAAGGATCGAGAACCTACGAGTTCCTAGGGCGGAACGTGCCGTGCCGTGCCGTGCCGCGTTGCGCTCGTTGAAAGGTAGGGGAACCACAGAGACTGTCCATTATCGCTCTTCTCTCTCGAAACGCCCTTACATGACGGCTGCTTGTACCAAACCCTTGATTACTTGTTCAAAGGTGGCTGGCGCCACATTATCGGCAATTCGTTTCTTTCTTGCAATTCGTGCGCTGATATCCCACGCGGTATTTGCTTTGTTCGCGCGCTCCATGGACAAGATATGCAGCATGCCCTACCGGAACTCGCCGCGTGACAATGCTGATTGGTAGCCAGTAAGTCACCTCGCGATGCACCCTGAATTTGAGACCCCCCCATTCCCAGTCCTGAGGAGCTGAGGTACTTGTGTGTTCGGGGTTGGGTGATGGGTGGGCGGAGTGCAGGACAGCCTTGTAGCGAATCGGAAATTGGGCTTCCGAGTTGGGGGCGCCTCTAGGAACCATTTCCTCCAGTTGCAGCACATTTTGGATGTGATGCTAGCCAGTTTCCGTGTCTTGGCTGACTGCATGCGAGCATCAGCGTGTCACAGACACCTCCAGCGCCAAGAGAGTTGCGGGACGGTCCGACCAAGCATTGGCTGCCTCGGGCTGGTTTACTTACGATGCAGGTTAGGCTAGGTAGAGTGCGGCATACCTTTTTGGACGCAGCACATGCAACTAACAATGTATGTAACCGCTGAGTTTGTGCCACAAACTGCCCTCGTGAATTGGGTGCTTGCCGCTTTCAGGAGTGATCTTCAAGCTTCATATCCAGGACTTTTGATTTGCTGGCATTTGAGCACAACTCCACAAGAGTACATAGACTTGGAACACACTGGTTTGGCGACTGCATGCCCTAAATTCGTCCCAGGGAGGAGACAACAACGTTCTCTACCACCAGCAAGCATTTTTCGAGACATTTAACCACATCCCTGGGCCGACTAGCTGTATCGGTTGACTATGAACCCTGTGTCAATACAGCGACCGTCATGCAGCTTGTTAACTTCGCCGCTGGTGAGACACTCGTTGTGATGGTTGCCCTGCGCGGTCTGTGGGTGGGTTCGAGGGTGTCGCGAAAAATTTTCACGACAGGCCACCACAACCATGATTTGACGCGCAGCCACCGAGCAACACGCGCGCTGCAGCTACTGACACCGGACACCACGAGAAGGTCAGCCGCTTTCGTCCTACTGCTCTTTTGAGCAGCATCCAGGCTGAAACCAAAGGGGAAGTTACAGGTGCTAAAATGGAACAGTATTGTTATTCGTACCAACCCGAATTGCTAGCCGTACCAACAAGGTCACATGACCGCGGAAAATTCTTCCCGATTTCAATTTCAGTTCCCTTTTTTTCCTCCTTCACAATTTGTAAGTAATTGACCAAGGCCTCAAAATCAAATCAAAAACACATAGAAAGAAGCCAATTTCAAGGCCAAATAACACTCAACCTGACTGTGAGAGGATTCGTCTTGCGCTCGGCTTCGTAGCCGGTCGAGTGCCTCGAGGGCTCGGCTTGACGAGGGGGATCGGGGTCATCGTAGGGGTCGGTGTGGCTGCTGGTGTTGCGGTTAGGCTCGCTGCCCTCCGGCCGCAGCTTTCAGCTCCTTTGGGACATCTTGCTTGCCGTTGACGGGACCGCGAGGCCGGCTGCGAAGATTGGTAACGTCAGGATCTTGGATCCGAAGGAGTGGTTCCTCGAGATCCTATGGGGTAGAGATCAGAGTGTTTTCTCACTAAAAAGGGCGATAATCTTACCGGAGGCTTCCGAAGCCACCAACGTGGATGACAGAGATCCCTCGTAAGGGGTTCCTTTGCCCGTAGCCGCAGGAGAATTTGGTGACTGCAAGGCAGAGCATTCTGCTGCATAAAAGTGTGCTCACAAGGCCGTAAGATCGGGTTCTGCTCATCAGCTTGAATCGCCGCCTCGGCGACGCAATATTGCCCGACGATGAGGTCAATAGCGATATAACAGACCTGTAAAGGGAGCCGACCAAGCCAGCTACGGCCAATAAATTCACGCCGCTGCTTCATCGTCATCTCGGCGGCCTTCTCATTGTATCCCCTCTCTTTCCTCTCGATCATAGCGATCAGGGCGTTGTGGAGGTGGAGGAGATCGCGGAAAGCAGGAAGCTTTTGACGTCTTTATGAGCAGTGTCCGTGGGGCTATTGACTCGTTGACCGAAGTTGCGATATCGCCGAATGTAGCAACTGGCCCACTGCTCCCTCCATGGCATGTACTCGTCAGAGATGTACTTCAGGACGTGATTTTGGTGTGTTTTGTATGTGGTGACCATCGTAGACCACTCGGCGAAGAATCTCCTTCAGACGGCGCGTAGATAACGCTTTTCCACGCCTCGTACATTCCATCAGGGGAGTATTCGGCGGCGGCTGACTGTGAGGTCGGTTGGAAAGAGTCGGTTTCCTTCTGTGCCTCCGTGCGGGCGCGTAAATTGACTTCGGTGGCTTGCTCGCTCTCGTCATGGTCAACGATCGGTTCGGCGTCTTCGGCGGCGGTAGGGGAATGCCATCGCGATAGAATCTTGCCTCGGATGTTAGCATTAATGTCATAAATACAGAGCTGTTGCTGAGAGAAAGGAAAAAATGCTCGCTTATCGGTGATGACAACTTCGGCCGAAGGAATGCGGAGAGAGAGCCTGATGTGATTCAGCTGCTCACAAAGCCAGAGATATCCCTCTTCTCGCTCGTTATTAACGAGACCGAAGCCAAAATTGGCCACAGACTTCTGCTCCGTGATACCGGTGACTTGGAAGAGATACATATTGAACCGATTGGTCTATACGTGTTATCCATCCCGAGAACCTCTGGGAATCTCTTCCACATCATCTCACACCACGGATAAGTCCAAAACACGGCTGCGATCTTCCTCTGATCATCGAGATGAACAGCGTGACGGATCTTCTTGCGCCGAAGTTAAGCAATCCACGCCTGCGTGGCAGTCAACCCACCTAAAGTCTCCTGGTGAAGTCGTTGGCGATCGTTGTAGATATCTCGTTGCATGAAATACGAGGGTTTCGACTCGGCTCCTCTAAGGATATCGCCCACCTCACGTGGAGGAAGGTTTCGGATCCTATAAAGGGACCGTTGGAGGCGCTGTTGTGCGGCAGATCTCTTGCGATGGACGGGGTGTGCCGAGGGGTTAGGGAGGGCCCGTGATTGTAAAGACTGAAGGTAACGGTGTAGCTCCAAAGCCCGTTCATCTGTTGTGACGGTTTGGCTATGATCTTGAACTGGCAGCCCGTCTTTCGTGTTGCTGTGCGTCGCAATCCAGCTGATTCTGATGGCCGAAATCCCTCGCGGTCGCACATCAAGGTCACATTCGTGTGGATCTCGGCCCCATTGGTCATCCGCTTGGGGCCACATCTCTTCTTGATAAGCCCGGCGCCGTTCTCAAGATAGAATGACTGTAGGAACGCGAAAAGCTCGCCGAATGACTCGAATTCGGTCGATGGGGGAGGTTCGGGGATTTCTGGCTCATTTTCTTCAGAAAAGTCGAGGTGTTCAAGCTCGGGAATAAAGCAGTACGCTCAGGAATACTCAGGAGTGGTGAAACCATCGTCAACTGACGAGATTTCACTCATTATGGCCGCGAAAAGGCGTGATGATGGCGATGGCGCGTTATGTAGATGAAAAGTTGAAGTTGCGATCTGCGATTATCGGCGCGCCGTCGCCGGCAAGCCACGTGACATGGAAAATTGATCTTCCGAGAGAACAGCGGGGCGGATACGAATACCAACACTCTTGCAGATTCTTGAGTCGACTCGATCGTGAGCCCTAAATGGCATCCTCGACTGATTTTGTATTGCGAAACAGAAAGAGTGTCGTGGCTGGCGAGCTCAGTACACTCGGCGCAACTGGCTTTTAGCTTGGGCACTCCCCGTGGTCGATTCGATCTGGGAGACCAAGGGATAATTTTAGAAATGGCGCCATTCCGAAATCAGAAGATGCGGCTAGGATGACTAACCCATAGGGCCAATCATATGCGCGCGGCACTTAGTTACTGTACTGTATCTGACCGACCCAGTTAAGATAAGATTACTAAGAAGCGCGTCACATTTGTCGTTGCTCTGCCAATGCCTGCTCACCCCCGCATCATCAAACCCCCAGATTTCAAACAACGTTCCCCAGTCACAAACATCAAAGAAGACCGACATCTCGTCCGCAATCCACGGAAACTCGAAAAATGCGCCAAAGTGCCGTTTTTGCATGGCTTGACTCCCTCGAATTGCCTTCCGCCGACATCGACCGCGACTGGGACCTCGTCCGACAAGACGGCAGCATCAATCGAAAAGCGAAGCGTGTCAAGCTCAGCCGCGAGCCTGACACCTCCCGACTGCCGACGCCGACGAACTCGGAAGCGCATTCGTCGGCCGTCGATAAGCGACTCCTACATCAGATGGCATCTTCGAGCAAGCGACCCCGGCAAGAGGAGGAACATGATGCTACAAATGAGACGAGGCTGGAGTCTCTGGACCTGATCAGCAGTGATCCTCTAGAAACACCGCGACCCAGCCGCATTCGCAGGGGAACAAACCAAGACTTGGGCTCCCCCTCTTTGCATGAGGACTCCCCGTCTCGAGCTTCATCAGGCCTATCGCAATCGTCCACGTCGAACCATTCGTCCGTATCTCACCAGTCATCCGCCAAGAGGCAGCGCCGCAACGCTGGGCTGCAAGAAACAGGCTTTAAGCCAGTCAGTTTCGAGCTAGATTGCGACCTGCAACCTGAGTCTCTTCGGGCCCTATGTCAACAACTCACAAAGATTGGTGATGGGTCCAAGATCATCCCTACGGAGCTGCGAGAGATGGTAAGGGACTTCCACGGAGTGACACGGTGAGAAGCTGACACTGGTCCAGTTGATCGGTGCCAATATCCCAGATGGGGCGTACTTTGATGCAAATGATGCGCATGGCTTACCGCAATGGCGATATCCTTCTCTCGATCTCGCGCAAGAGATTGTGACTCGTGCCGCTTTATGCCTCGATGAGGGAGAAGGCGAATCGTCCTGGAACATGGACGTCCATGCACCTCTGCTCTCGTGGGTCTTTCGGCAAAAGCGATCACGCTTGGTAGATTATCGATACTGGTATGTTCCCGGCCGCTTTCAACTTGCATTCCACTTCTCATAAAACAACAGTACTTCGGCCCAGATCCTACGTGAATTCAAGCCCAGGAATGCCCCTTCCAAAAACGTCGACTTCTGCGTCATCATCCGCCCAGAAGAAGACAGTCCGGCATACGAGGCCATCGAGGACCTCTGCCGCCTCGGGCGACCCGGACTGGCCATCAACCACACCGAATGGGGCAACTTTGACAAGGACCCGATCGCCATCTCCATTGAGACGAAACGGCATGCCGAAAACTGGGACAATGCCATCCTCCAGATGGGCACCTGGCACTCTGCGCAGTGGCGGAGTCTGGTCTGGGGGAGGAGTCAACAGCCGGTGCGCCACATCGATTTTCTGCCTGGCATCATCATTCAGGGACATAGCTGGCTTTTTGTTGCCACTATCTTCAAGAATAACAAGGCGAGGCTCTACCACTCTGTCGCCATCGGTGATACGAAGACCAAATTTGGCATTTACAAGCTCACCATCTCCTTGCAGTGTTTACAAGGATGGGTTGAGGAGACATACTGGCCTGCTTTCAAGGCGGACATTCTGGAAATTTGATAAGATTACGGCATGAGCATATAAGAGATACCCAAATAGAGAATGGTTTATAGCGATATCTGACTTGATTGACTCCTAGTCCTACATACCAAAATCAGCTTTAGTAGAGTTGACTTATTCCGCCCCACTTTGCTAGAGGAGTTGAGGAAGGATGCAACCGAAGAAAGCACCATCAACTGTACTTCGGAGCAAAGTTGGGCGATGTAAATATTTTGAGCGTCTCCACATGTGTCATCAGCTATAGTTTGGAATCAGCTAAGCAGGCCCAAACTGCGATTCAGGATACCGCTTCGAGGGAATCGGGATAGATACCTTGGACTGATGATACTGAGATGTGAAGGCTTTTCTCAACTGATTGCAGGAGGTCCTGTATCTCCTGGCCATACTGGCTTCGTTCTTCTCCAGCCGGGCAATAATGGGATGGTGTATCATGTAGCTCATTATCCCCCACAGGTGGTGGGCTGCACGGTGCTCCGGCCGGGCCCGCTTTGGCCTCGTTCGGTTCGTCGTCGTCGTAGTTGCCGTTGTAGGTGGGCTCGGCCGCTGGTGGATCCTCGAACGGCGTGGGGATCTGGAGATGCGGCTCTAGGTGGAGGCCAATGACCGGATCCGTAGTCGACGGTATAGCGGGCGGATGAGGTTGATAGTGGTAATGATGTATAAATTCTGCTAGTTGCGACTCGGTCGGCGCGCCATGGGGGTGGATGGCTTGCTGGTGTTGTCGTTGGTAGTATCGTTGTGATCGTGCACGCTGCAGAGCACGTTCCCGGGCTACTCGCTCCTCTTCAGACGCTGCTTTTCTGGGTCGACCACGACGTCTCGGGACTGATTGAGACATTGTCTCGCTTGATCTCTACCATGATCGCACCAAAAAAGGGGTTCATAATAATAAGAGGAAGGAAGGAAGGAAGGATTTTATTTCGCCCGGGGGGACACACCCCAGAGGGCCTTTGCGCTAAGCTATTTTCGTTTCGTACAGTTCTTCCATAATCACCCGAAGCCCCAAAATTTCACTTTTACTAACTGGTCCAATCTGGTGTATATGCCGTGACAGGCCTGCATGAAGGCCAATTTCCCCAAGTGTTCAGCATCCTATCCTCAGCAGCTGAAGCCCGGTCTGTCAAAATGAGACTGTATGATGTTAGTAGGGATTGATCTGAATAATAAGAGACGCGGAACGCGTACCGGCCAGATTTGCAGATTACATAACTGGAGGAAAAAGCAAAAAACCACGGCTTCCTTTCAGGATGCCTGCATTCAATAGCATTCGGCATGATGTTTGTGCATTCTCATTTAAAGTCGTTGGATGGAGAGTGCCCTTCCCCTTTCCTTCGAGTTTGCTTTCAAGGGAAGGCTAGTCTTGAAAATAGATTGCGCTCACCCGAACATTCATCATGATGATGATGATGCCCGAAGGCTAATACTCGCTGTGGCAATCCACGGTCGCCCGTGCCGCGATACACCCAAGCATCAACCTAGCCACACATCAGAAAACGCCTTCACCATGGGTTATACGACAAATTGCTACTTCTAGGCTTCATCATAGTGTAATGGAAACACTTCCCGCGCAATTTAGCCCTAGGGGTCTATTATTCAGTCATTTAACTTGGGTCTCGATGGTGTTTTGACCAGCCGTGGGTAGCAGCAACGTCATCCTCTTTCGGCTGAATGAATGAATGAATTTTATTACGCCCGGGAGGACTAACCTCAGGGCCAAATTCTTTCGGCCGAAAGGCACTCTGCACTCTTGAATTTCTGTGGCTCAGGCTCCGACCCGTCCTGAAAGGGGAGAGCTGCTTAGCCAAGTCTTCCAGTCGCCGCGCTAAACCGAACTGAATTAATCGTGAGCCAAGACTTTTCTTATGTCAGCGACCAACTTGTCAAACTTCAATCCATTAAATATTCCAAACCACGATAACTTATTCCACAGGATAGGGAAAAATATGGGACTAGTCTCATTCGATTGCATTTTTCTTGCTCTATTGTCCATATCATTTTTGCTCTGTTCTGAAAAACTTTTGTTTTCGGAACTCACCCGTCATCCCTAACCCCCATATTTCGATATGACTTGGGCAGGCCGAAGCGTAGGTAGGGACATGGTGTCGGTATATTATAAATAATAATAGATGATGGAATAGAATATATATGCACCTAATAAAGTACTATACTATGTAGGAGTAGTAGTAGTAGGAGCAGTAGTAGCAGTAATAGTAGTAGTAGTAGTAGTGGTGATGGTGGTAAGTCCAGTCTCCTTGCAATGGCTCTATTCTTTTCCTCCTATTCTATGTACGATTCTCATTTCCCCCGGCGGCGCGGCGGGCAACCTGTGCGCAGTTCATGGTTACCATGCCGGTGAAGAATAAAATTAAGGGGCTTTTTCGATGAAAAAGGAAGGGGCAAGGCGAATAGCGGTCCTTTGGCGGGACCCGGGTCGGTGCGTTGATGATACGTTCCCTTTTTGGACGAAAGAGGAGGAAAACGGACGTTGATTGGGCGGCGGGGGCTCTTTGGAGGAAAAAGGCAGGCCGACTACAAACAGTAGCTATTTGGGAGAATTCGCTATTTGGGAGAATTCGCTGTTTGGGAGAATTCGCTGTTTGGGAGAATTCGCTGTTTGGGAGAATTCGCTGGTGGCGAGAATTCGCTGGCCGAGCTGAGGCCCATTGATGGGCCTTGTGTAGTGGCTGGCGTTACGAGGAGGTCCCACTTTGAGGCCTCAAGTGGCCTTCTCCGGGTACCATCTTCAATAAAGTTAAAAACCGGACGAAATATTGTAAAGATCTCGGCATATTTGTTGTGGACCACCTTCAACCGGCAGAATGCAGACAGAAATGGTTGAAGTTTGGAGCTGCGATTATCTTTACGTCCCTATTTCTCAGCTGTACTGTACAGGGTTAATAATCCAGACGGTTAGCAGCAAGAACAATTCGAGCGCAGGATTATTCACTGTGGGGATAATTTTAAATGATATCTATCTAAATACCCGTTGGCATTGTGGGGCGGGCCGCCTACCAACCTCGTCCCGCGGGCCCGCCCCACAATGCCAACGGGTACACGCTAATGTTTCGCAGTTCCGGTTTCCAAACCTTCAAAACCGCTCCATCGGTTCTGAGTTGCGCTGGCGGTATGTCTCAGCGCTGCCCTTCCTCAGCCAGGCAGGTGACACCATCGCCACTTGTTAAGGGATTGGCAGTCAAGCTTACCAGAAGAATATTCATTTGTCTAACAACACGGGCGCGCTTTAACTGGAGTTGATTCTGAACGTCTTCAAAATATCATAAACTTCCTTGTTATAGTTCCTCTTGTAACCCGCGCAGTAGCTTCTCTGTCCGAGTCCATCGGTCGGGGTCAAAAAGATTCGGGTAATGCTCCTTTTGTCCCATCTCAACTGCATAATCCAACGGTGTCTTCCCATGTGCATCACGAAGCCCTGCAGACAATCGTATTTCGTCGCAAAGGAAACGTAGAATGTTTTCCGTCGGATTGCCCTTGATGGCACTATAATGAAGGGCAGTTCGCCCGTGTTTATCCTCAGCCCTTAGATCCACACCCCAGCTTGCTAGTGTTCGGAGCAAGCTCACAGAAACTCTGGGGGATCCAGAGGCCAGGTGCGCTAAACCCAAACCTTCTTCCGTCTCGAAAGCTGGGTTTGCACCGCACTCAAACATGAGACGCAACACTTCTGGGTCATCATCGCCTGCACAGAGGACGAACGCCCTGAGGTATTTAGCCACCGGCGACATTCCTGCATTGTCAAGGTCATTGATGCCAACTGACCATTTCAGGAGATAGTCGACGACAGTAATGTCAACCTCAATGTTGCTGCTCAACAGATGATGTAACACGTTCTGTCCATGGTTGTCTTTCGATTTCAGGAATGTTTCCAGAGACGCGTCCGGCTTGTGGTTCACTGTACTCTGTATTATTCTTAGATTCCCATTTTGTGCCGCGTAATGCAGAGCATTGACTCCGTTGACATCGCCGTCCATGGGATCCGCTCCAAGTGTTAGGAGGGTAGTAACAGCGTCTAGGTTTCCATTCCGGCTAGCGAGATGCAATGGTGTTTCGCCATTCGTTGTGCGCACCGAGATGTTGGCACCTTTCTCGATAAGCTCCCAGATCAAGGACTTGGAGGAGTCTCCGCCAAGGGCTGCAATGTGCAATGGAGAAATGCCGAAATCATCTTGGGCATTCACATCGACCATAGGATCTTCCAAAAGACGACTGATAATGGCCGACCTGTTTTCGTAGATCCAAGCCTGAGTTGAGCAGTATTCGTCCTCACTATCAGTCAATTCCACACAATCGAGTGCAACCTCGATTCGGAACATTGGATCGTTCCAGAAGTCCACAATCCCAGGCCATTCCGGACCATACAAATCTATCCTTAGCGCTAGATGCAGTGGTGTCTCGCCATGGTCCGAAGGAAAGTTTGGATTGGCACCGTGTTCCAGCAAGAACGTGGTCATCCGTTGATTACCCGTCAAGGCAGCGAGGTGTAGACAAGTTAAGCCCTTCTTTGTGCGGGCCTCTCGTACGGGATTTTGCGCACCATCTCTCGCAACATAGACCACTCTGCCTTGTCGATAACCAGGTATGTAGATGTCTCTCGTCACTGTCGTATCTACTAGTGTTCCAGCGTCGAGGAAAGCTTGGGCTATCTCCTCGGCATCGTTTTTGACTGTGTAGCGGAACGGAGCCATGTTGTCGACGTCTGGGCTTAGACTCGCTCCTCTCTGTAGCAGCAGCTGGACGCATCGTTTCCAGCCGTTGAGCACAGCATAGTGCAATGGGATTTTCCGTTCTGCATCCCATATGTCGATGCATGCGCCTTGTTCTATGAGCCATTCCGCGGTAGCTTCTGCTTGTGCACCCCCATGCTTTGCCGCCAAAAGCAACCAATTTCCGGGCATTTTTGATTCTGAAGAAAAGAATCGAGCGACCGAAGGTGGCTCGGATATAGCGAGACGGGCATGCAGCGCACCATATTCCTTGGAATAATTCAACGACGGGTAGAGCTGCCTATCAGCCCTTTCACCTAGCGAATCCTCGTCCACCTTCCAGAACGCAGCCCTTTCACCTGGTGAATCTTCGTCCACCTCCAAGAACTCAACGTCAAAGACAGGGAAGAGGAGATAAGTGAGGCATGATGTTGCAATTGCAGCGTCAGCATCTGGACGCCAATTTGCTCGCGTCCGCTCCAAGTACTCTTGTGTCGTGTAGTGGATTAAACTGACCGTCTGGCTCCGTTCGTCAACCGTCACCAAGCCAGCGCAGACAGAAACCATGTCCTCGATGTCGACAAGACTCTCCTCGTCAAGATTCGAGTCTGTTTCCTGGACGACAACAGCTGCTCGGAGCTCTGCAACCTGGAGCTGTCTCTTTGCAAAGGTAAGCCATGCAAGGACGTCCTTGGCGAGCACTCTGTGGTCTGGGCACTTTCTCTCTATCCGCTCCATTGCAGCCAGGTAGGCCTTGTCGTATGCTGATGACCCGGTTGGCAAGGCTGCGAGTTCGTTTCTGAGCGTCGTGACAGACAATTTATCTGCTAAAGAGTCGAGATGCAGGCGGGCAAGAAGGAACCTAGGGTCATGTTACCATTTGATGGCGTCGCTTTATAAGAGGAGAAGCAACGTACATTCCTCCAATCGATCCCAAAATTGCTTTGCAAATATCTTCTTGAAGTTGTCGGTCACGCCTGACGAATCTACCAAGCTTTGACATCTTACCATCAAGGTATTTGCGAACATCATTATCGCTCGCATGTATCTCGAGGACACTGCTTCCTTCCAACTCCTTGTCATTAACAATCTCTGGGATATCCCTAGAGGTTACCAAGGCATTTACTCCCTGCAAGCCTCGGAGCTGGGCGAGAATTTCTCTCCATGCAGGACACTCGTCAAGACCGTCAATAACTATGAAGACGCGGGAATGCAGAGACGCCACGGACTGTAACGCACTAGCTATTTCTTTGAATGATGGCCGAGTCTCCTTTTCTTTGTGCTTGTCATACAAAGTGCTCAACGCGTCTGGCAAAGAGCCTAGACATTGGGCAAGCTGCTTGAGGATGCTCGCGAGAATCACACTAGCGTTCTCGTAGTCTTGGCGTCTGAAATCACAGTAGTGATATGCTATGCCAACATCGCTCTTGTTCCCGAAGCGGTCTAAAAGATGCTGGATCACGATGGAGGCTAGGAATGTCTTCCCCGCTCCTGGAAGACCTGGACAGAACAACACCTCTTCCTTGGTTTCGATCCATTTTCGGAATTCGTCAGAGCATAGAAGCCATTCGCCGGTTCCCTCTTCATGCTCATCATACACCTCGCTTTGACGTGAGCCATGATCAACGGTTCCAATCCACTTGAGTATTTCATGTCGCTCCTGTTGGTTCGATCGCTCGGTGAGATGATGAACGTCCTGTTGAATTCTGGAGGATCTTCGACTATGCTCCTTTTAGTCCACTAGAAGTTGAAGAGAAAGCTTTCTAAATACCTGGATAGCTGTACCTCAATCGTATTGAGTAGTGCGAGATTGAGCGATATCCGACTTCGAAAAGCTTGAACGTCATTCGGGTCCCAGTTGAACCTTTTCCAAGCTTTCTTCACGCATTGGATTGTACTTGTACTGCGAACCCCGATTTCTCTATCCTTGTCAAGCCTCTCGAGCAAATCTTTTAAAAGACTGGTGGAGTCGTTCCTGATACTTTGTAGATATGCTTGCTGCTCGGGCCTAGGTTCGCATCCAGATAAAAGGACATCGATATCTTGGACGACGTTCGAGAAGTTTCTGAGACTACCAGTCAAGTATAAGTGAGTAGGTGCATGCAGGGTTAGCGCGACATTGACCTACTCGTTTGATATGTCATTATACTGGCTAGGAGCATCCACAAACCGTTTCCGGGCCTGAGTAACAAGCTCTAGGATTTTGATGAAGTCGCCGACGCCGACGCCGACACTCATTTTATCGGCAAAAAGACTCGAGGTAAAAATAAGGACCAGGCTCAACCGGGCCCCTGTTGCTGACAGTGTCCTTCCCCGACCACTTGATGATAAATTCGGAGAGATCGGGCGCCCTGATTGATTCCCTCTTGAAGTGCTAGATTGGGATCAATTTGTCGGAGGGCGCGGGGGGGAGGCAGTATTTAATGCCCAAAGTGCAGATACATGTAATTTAGGCAGCAACGAGACGCCCTCATGGTTGGAGAGCGTCCTGCGTCCGAGACCACAATCAGGCTGTGAGCTCAGAATTCACGTTCCACGAACTGTTCGGGTGCTCGCCGATAAGCGAATGACCTATCGCGTCGCAGACGCGCTAAGGCCGATTTTCGCGGGTAGTAGGAGGCTTTGGCCACGGGCAAGGATGGGAGCAAGCGAAGCGGCCTCGTGGAACTGGTCCCTGTACCGTACAGAGGTGCTGTGCCTGACCCAACATTACGGAACGTACAAAGCGCGTTTGCCTCCTCCGCAGGGATCCAAGCCCGACTCCGCCACGTCACAGCCTGGTTAGGCATTCACCGAAGTACCCGTGAACAGGGCCCCTCCCTCCTCCACACAGTCTCTCGTCTCGGGCTGTTGATCCGCAAGCCAACCCGAAACCGCAACCCGAAACCGCTTCCCTTACCGTCAAAATATCGTCGTTTGCCATGGCCGAGGCGGTAGGACTCGCCGCAAGTGTCATCGCCATCATCGACCTATCCGCCAAAGTGCGATACTGTGCCCCCAATCCTCCACCGCCGGGGCAACGTCCTGCCCGGCCTCGCTTATCTGGAAGCAGCATCTTTGACTCTGGTGTCAATTAGCAAAGCATCTACAACGCTTCCACAACGCTCCGTGCCCCACAGCAAAGGTGTGGTGAGGCGGCTAATTGCGGATATCGACGCCGAGATAACGGGTGAACCCGCATTTAGGACTAGCAACTGCCATGCTACTGGCGGCCGCTATTACGGAAGGCCACAAGGGGCAGAGTTCCAAAATTCAACTTTTCATTTTTTTCTTACTAGGGCAACCCCAATGTGCCATTATCCTTCTGTTTAATCACATATAGGGGACGCATATCACTGTAAAGATAAAATATCCCTCAACAGGGAGAGCCCATTGCGTGACCCTAATTTAGTTAGGGTTGCTTGAGGCAAATATTACGTTCGGCCACAAACGCGGCCATTTGGGAACGAAGTTCATTCATCATCCTTCTCTTACACAATGGATACACCTTCATCCACTTCGACAGAGTATTGTCCCAAAGACCGCAGCCGTCATGTGGATATACGTACGAAGTTCCCTGGGGCCCTTTATTGCCCGCATTGCGCTCAACGGCTCCCTACGGCTTCATCATCATTTGGCCCTATTACCCCTATTTCTATCGACCTCACAGTCGATTCACCTACTTCCCAATCAACAGTCCAACGAGGCAATGCGATGACGATTCCTTCCCAACGATCCCGACCGAGACCTGATACCTATCAGAACGCTACGAACCTAGCTATTGAAAGCCGGTCAAGGAGCATCGCAGCTACAAGCCATACGGCTAAGATTGTCATCGAATTGCACGCTTCGTTTTGGTCGTGCGATGGGTATTATGACAATGTCCTTGACGGTGTTGAAACCCCAGTATACGACAAGACGGCAAACCTCGTTGGAAAGCGTACAGGAAATGTTGAGATCGTTCTCGGGGCAAAGTTCCCTTCTCATGCCGCAATGATAGAGTTCATTGTCAAGCAGTGTGACAAGAGGCTTGCAGTTAAGGAATGGAAGGTCGTTCATTCCGTAGTGACTCAAACTGCTACCTTTGGACCCGTTGAGTTCTCTGATGCCGCGTACGAAACGACCTCGTTTGCGGACCTCTTTCGTGTGGGCAATATCTCGCTTGCCCCAAAGCGCGATACGGTCCATTTGACCTTTTGGTACTTCAATGTAAAGCCTCGGCCTGATATTGAGTCACCAATGCCGTCAAGAGCCGTACGTGGTCACAAGCGAGCGATTGATCGCATACCCTCTGATCTAGAGTCAGAAGCCTCGGCGAGGAGCTCTAGCAAACGCAAAGCCTCACGTACGGTAAAGTCAGAGCGCGTATCCCCAATTAAGAAGGAATCAAAGCCACGAAAGCTATCTCGTATACCGGTAAAAGAGGAAGCTGAGACCCCCTTGGAGTTGGAGGGCAAGGATGATATTCAGGCTGAAATTCAGGTTGAGCTTTCGGGTGAAGATGACGCGGATTCGGCTACTTTTGAGGCCGTCCTTGACGATCCATTCGCGAGTGATATCGATGAACACTCGGAGGCCCAGGCTCTCTCACCTCAGAAGAGGCTTCCTGTCCGGATTGGTAGGGGAAAGAATAAGAATAGGGATTAGTTTCAGTTCAATTGCTACAATTGGTTATGCATCTAGTCGTATAGTTGGTCTCCCTCACCCCAGTCAATCTCTTCCTCCTCAATGCGTTCCAAAAGCGAAGCAGTATCGATATCGTGAGTGGCCAAATGATCACGTACGCGGTCTAGGCCACCCGTAGGCGTCTCCAATAATGCCAGCTCTGGCTGCTGCTTACTCCTAATGTACTGCCGTAAACGATCTCGTAGGAATAGATACGCTGAAAGCTTAGGTTGCTGTGGCGGATCTCTTGGCAGATCTTCCTGGCCTCTAAGAATGCGATCACAGATAGCTATTGTATCTTCTGGCAAGTAGGCATCAAGATCAATACGGTCCCCGTCGAAGATATCTTGGAGCGTTTGTAATCGATCTTGAGGGATAACCTCTGCAAAGCTCTCAACCTGCCGTGCGGTAGGCTGAAAGTAGAGGGTCCATGGCTGCCCAGGAACCACATGCGGCCTATTGCGTTGTTTGCGAATGTAGTGCGAATTCCACGTAAGTACGAAGTCGGCAAACTCAGCCCGCAGGATCGGCATGAAGAGATAGAGCATTGCAATACGGTCGGGTAGGGAGTCGTTCGAGAAATGGCCAAGTGCGGTAATTTCACCAAAATACTCCTAGATTCAGGTTAGCATAGGGTCGAACGGAGTGATAATACTACATACCCGCCAGAATTTAGCCCTACCCCTACTCAATCGAAGCCACCAGCTCTCAATCTTTTCGTTATGCGTGCTTTTGCCATAGATCCAGCAGTCTCGAAAGCGCACATCTTGTGGGATACCTTCCCGTGCGCGTACGCGGGTCTTCGAAAGGTAATAATGTGCTCCAGCCATAAGGATTGTCTCTTGGCCGCGGTCGGAACGGATGATATTTGGCATGGTTTTCCGCTGCGAGAGAACATCGAGATACTGTGCAACAACGCTTCGTGACGTACTAGAGGATATGCCCACGTAGAACCACGTAATAAACCGTGAGTAAGCGTCAATGGAGGCATAGATCAGGGCTCCTAATAGTGCAGACCATTTAGACTATTAGTGCAGACTGCAGATCAGGGCAGGGAATACGGACGCCCGGTGTGGACGCTAAGTACGCTAGGTTGTTGGCATGGTGTTACAAAACCAGGGTACCCATGATTGTTGCTGTGCCAACCACTTTGTTTTGGATATTTCTGATCAATTCACTGGTGCGATCCGGATCAACAAGGCTCGTTTCAAGGGGCGCATCATCCTAGTCGTCAATCCACGAACGCCCGTCGTGGATTGATTATTGATCTTGGATTGTAGTCTGCACTAATAGTGTAAATGGTCTGCACTATTAGGAGCCCTGGCATAGATCTCAAAGCCCCAGGCCTTCAATTTATCGTACGCATCAAGGGACCAAATAAAGTCGGGGCCTGGAGAAGTCCATCCAGTTCGGCGATATCGCATCGTATTCCACCGTTCGGTAACACAAGTAGGGGAAAAGTCGCGAAAGCATGAGTACAGGGCTCGGCGGCTCAAGATATGATGATTTCGACGGACATATACGTAGAGTAGTGTGCGCCCGTAGGTCTCAAGCTTAGTGTGTAATTCGGACTCGTCTTCAAAGAAACGGCGCAATTCGTGAAGTCTCTCGCTAGTCATCTCAGGGGTTTGACGCCGCCAAAGGCCTAGGTCTCGCCGTATCCGTGAGAGGCCAGTCTTTGAGATCAGAAAGCCCTCAGAGTGAAGCTGCAGAAGCATAAAGTGATCGTTCAAGACCTTATCAAAGAATAGGTCTTTAATACGCTCACGTAGTTGTTCAGAGTCTTCGGTATACTGCCTCATGGAAGCATTCCAGATCTTCAGGTTGCGATATACGGTCGTACGTTGAACTTCGATGTGGAATTCGTTATTAAGGCGCTGTACGATTTGTTTGAGCGTGAGACCGTCGTCGTTTTTCCATTGTTGAATCTGAAGGCGAAATGGGGATATATCAATTGAAGGGCGACCCCTAGGCATCTTGAACCGTATGTTGCCGTACGTAGTCAAGTGTAGGCGTAGGGAAAGAGAGGAAGTCTGAGTTGAGATTGCGCGATTTAATTTTGAAAAAGGGGGTTTGTTACGTTTGTGATCGTATGGCGCCAAATTGCCTCATGCATAATATGTTTAGCCTCACTTGGTCAGACCCACAAGATTTTGAACAAAATGTCATAAGTGAAACACAAAGCATGATCAAAGAAAACTTGATTTCAGACTCTAGCTAAGAAAAGGGTATCATAGTTCACCGTACGTCCTCGTGCGCTAATATACGCGAATGTATTCTGCGTTTCCTCGTAAATCAAAAAAAAAAAAAATTCAACTCAGAGCGAAGTGACTAGGCGGACTACGGGTAAAAAAAAAAAAAGAGTTAGTAGAGGCTCGTACATTTACGTATTGGGTCAAATACCTTAAGCCGACTTCGAAGAGGTGCCTTTCTTGTGCTTCTTGCGGTTGGTAGCTGCCTTGAAGATCTGCACAAGCTTCTGGCAGGTCTTGAGGTCAAGGTCTTCGAACGGGTCCGTATCATCACTGTCGGAATCGTCGTCGTCGTCGTCGTCGCTAACCTTGCGCTTGGTACCACGCTCTTGTGGCCAATCA